ATCTGAGGCCAGGCGCAGTGGCTCATGCCTGTAATCCCAGCTCTCTGGAACGCCGAGGAGGGCAGATCATGAGGTCAGGAGTTCAAAACCAGCCTGACCAACGTGATGAAACCCCATCTCTACTAAAAATACAAAAAATTGGCTGGGTGTGGTGGCACCTGTAATTCCAGCTATTCAGGAGGCTGAGGCAGGAGAATCGCTTGAACCCGGGAGGCGGAGGTTGCAGTGAGCCAAGATTGTGTCATTGCACTCCAGCCTGGGTGATAGAGTGTCTCAAAAAAAAAATAAATAACAAAGAAAAAAAATGCACATCTGAAAAAAAATGTGTATCTATCCCCTACTTAAAGCCTTAGGACAAAGACCAAAATCTCTAATTTGGATTACCAGGCTTTGCAAGATCTGGACCGTGATTACTTGCATAGCCTCGCTTCATCTGCACTCTTCCCCAGGCACTTTCTCTTCCAGTACTACCAAGTCTCTCTGGGTTCCCACCGTAGGCCTTGCCTTCTCTAGCCCTAGTTCCTTCGACATGTTTCCTCTCCGAACTTCATTTTCCCCTCTTAGCCTTTTCTTTTCCTAACTTTTACTTATTCTTCTAGTCTCTGCTTAAAGCTCACTTCTTCAGTGTGGCAGAGGCTGTTGCTCTGCATCAAAATCAATACTCCACTTAGATTTATTTGGAATGACTATCGCAACAGAAAAAAAACACCTAAATCTCTCTTTGTGTTTAGTAAAAAACTACATTTTAGTACCTGCACATGACAATCTATATATAGGTCTATAAAGCTTAGAATTAAGACAATTATACCCTGAGGAGTTTCCAGGATAAGAAAAAGTTCAAATTAACAAAGAAAAAATCAATATGAAACATAACACGCAGCAAAGGCTGAAGGAAAGCAGGACTTAAGTAAAGCAATAGCAGTTTGGAGAATGGAAGATGGAAGAGGCTCTTTCAGAAGAATGAGATAACTTTTGCTATGCTAGTATGCCAAGGGATGTGGAAAAATAAAAAACTCTGTTAAGTAAGGAGATATATTTAACTGGAGCAGAAAACACTGGCAAAAAAGTACTGGAACTCTTAAAGATAAAAGGGACCTTAAAAGATTCTAAAACTCCCTAATTCCAAGATGAGAAAAAGGAGATCCAGGCCAGGAGTGGTGGTTCACACCTCTAATCCCAGCACTTTGGGAGGCCGAGGCGGTGGATCACTTAAGGTCAAGAGTTCGAGACCAGCCTGGCCAATATGTGAAACCCCATCTCTACTAAAAATACAAAAATTAGCCAGGCATGGTGGCATGCACCTGGAATCCTAGCTACTCGGGAGACTGAGGTCTCCCGAATCACTTGAACCTGCCACTGCACTCCAGCCTGGGTGACAGAGTGAGACCTTCTCTCAAAAAAAAAAAAGCAGATCCTAAAAGGCCAAATGAGTTTTACCTGGAGTTAATGAGTAGCAAAAAGACTCCAGGTCTTCTAATTCTTTTTCCTTAAGCACTCTGGGAAAGCACTGTACCAGGTACCCTTAAAGAATCTAAAAGAAATGTAAGTTTCCTTACCTTCAAAAAACTTAGAATGCTGCTGAAATAATATGACAAATGAAAAAGAAAAATATGAAAACAGGATGTAAATTTTTAAAGTGCCAAATTATGCACTACAGAAATATATCAGGCATTTGGGAGCTGGGTTCCAACAACTAAACAGAAGATCAGGAACAAAAAGAAAAGGAACGAAAAGGCAAACCAGTGATTGTTGAAGTGGTACTTAAAGGAAAATAATCTTGATGACTTGTGTTTAGAATGGCACGAAGGGAGAGGAAGGGAAGAAAATGGGAGGAATAATAATAAACTTTTTTTAAAAGACCTAAAAAATACAGACTGCAGTTACACACTCAGGCAGGTAGCAGATCAAGCAGCTCATGTTTGCAAAATTACTTCAAATTACAAGACCAGTTTACAATATATAACTAACAAGCTGCACAAGTTCCAAGTGTAAGAACTTTACAAGGCCAGTATGACTCACTGATTTCTACCAACAAATCATTGATGGAGCTGTGCTTGTAAAAGCAAAAGCACAGAATGAAAGAAGTCTATTTTCAAAAGAATTGTGAACTTTGAGATTATCTCTTTTTTTAATTTATTTTAGAAGGAAGTTCTGGTTTGGTTTGAAGTCTCAAGTTACCAACGAACTTGCTCTAAAATCCACAAAACTCTAGTGTCAAGAGACAGGAGTGTCGAGAGATAGGATAAACTATTCATGAAGGTATCACCAGCAAAAGTTCTACTTGCCAACCACAGCCAGTATATTTATAAGATCTCATTCACCATTTTATTCTAAGATGCTTTACTGGCTTGGCTGCCTCCAGTTCCAACCACAAGTACTTTACTAAAATATCCTTCAAGCCAGGAACAGCATCTTAAAGTCAATGACACCCTTCATCATACCAGTATTGTAACAAAGAACCCTGACATGTAAAGACCCAAAATCACCAGCTGAATAATGACAATTAGGTAAAATGTTAGATTTTTAAATGTTTTACAGAAAGCTTTAGGCTACTGTAAGAAAAAACCTGGTAATGGTTTGCATTCTCTATAATCTTAAAAAAAAAAAAAAAAAAAAAAAACCTGCAGACCAGAAATCAAAAATAGCTTTACACAAACAAAAGGAAAATTGTAGGTTTGCTGAGGGCATCAGCCGCTTAATTTAACCCCATTTCATCAGGAGCAGGAAGCCACACTGCTGTTTTCACCAGTTGCTAAGAAACAAGATATAGGACAGATTGGGACAGTAGAGTCTTTAGCTGAAAGTATTATTTTGATGCAATTACTGAGAATTCCCAAAGTGTCACTAATAGACAAGAAAAAGCATCTAGGACTGCCTCTAAATGAGTCCACCTACAACAGAATCAGTGGTTAAGCAAAGACAAGACTTACTGGAGCTTGCGGGTTTTTCCTCCTCTTCCCTACCCCCATCTTCCCATCTTCGTCCCCCCTCCCCAAGCAGGAAAGCAAGCTCGCCCAGCATAAACACAGGTCATTGCTCACAGCTCGTCACCACAACAAACTGGAGGTTAGACGGACGCTCCTGGAAACGGAACTCCAGGTCTTCGTTGCTAGGCACAAAACGGGGATCTTCCCCACAGACCTATGAACAGTATGGGCCTTACCAGTTGTTTCCCTACCTTTCTCTTTAAAAAAAAAAAGAAAAAGAAAAAAAAGAAAGCAAGCTTTGGAAATGGTGACGGCAAAAGTTTCCCTTTGGGTCAGACCTCTAGGTCTGCCTTGTACAGATATATATTAGGTGGGCTGGTCTCAAGTAAGCTCCACCGTCATTACGAATTTCAAGCCTAAAGACTACAGAACATCAGCGGAGAGGACAGGAAAGCTTCCACACCCACCCCACGGTCGTCTTCTCCAGGCACTGCTTCCTGGTCCAAAACAGCACAAATAACCCAAAACCATGGTGATAAGCGGAGCTGTGAAATACACACGCACAAGCCGCACTGGGAACCTGCCACGACAGCCGGGGGAAAAACCGGCCGAGTGAGGAGACGCAAGGCGGTCCCCTGTCACTTCAGGACAACACGCCCAAGCGAGAAGTGGCAGGAGGCAGGGGGAGTTGCCCCGAAACCTGCCCACCTTCCTGGGAACGCAATCCCCTCAGCGGCCGTGAGCGGACGGGCCGCAGTACGCAGCGCCCGGTCGCGAGCTGGGGCCCTCAGAGGAAGGCGCCCCCCGCAGGCTGGGCGCCCCAGAAGAGCCGGCGGCCGGTCCGGCCCCGCCTCGGGGAGCTGAAGGGAAGTCGCTCCCAGCCGAGGCCCCCTCCCGCCCGTCCCCACTCACCGCCGGTGTGTCTGGTTCTCAGCCGCGAGCTGGGGCTGCCGTGAGGAGGCGGCGGAGGAGACGCGATCTGGGGCCCCGCCGCCGGGTCATCATACCCTCCGCGCGAGCCGGCCCGGGCCCCGGCCCCCGCCCCCCCGGAGCCGTCCCCGCGCCCGTCCCGCAGGGGGAGCCTCTTCAGCCTCCCGCCCGCTCCACCAACCCAGCCCCTTCCCGCCGCCGCCGCCGCCGCCTCAGCCCCGCGCGCTCCCGCCTCGGCCTCCGGCAGCCGTCCGGGGCTACCGCTGGGCCCCTTACTCCGCAGCCGCCGTTGTCGCCAGACCAGACGAGCGGAGCGCCGAGCGGCCACCCCCTACCCGGCCAGCCCCGCCTCGCCGGAACTATTCACCCGCCCCGCGCCATGACACCTACTGAGGCGGAAGTGCAGCTGAACGGACTCTCTAGGACGACCGCATAGTACTGATCGCAGTGGGAGTGGGTGGGGCCTCGAGCGGGTGGGCCTCCGTGGGGAGCCAGCGTGGATCGAGTGCTGGGGCCGGATTTCTCGCCTCCTCCGCACCGTGGACTCCGCGGTAATTTAGAGGTGCTGGCGGTGGTAGGGGATCCAACTGTAAAATGTCATCCCAGCTAGTGTGACATCACCACAGCCTAGTGTGACACCCCCAGAGATTGGGCAGTGTGCGGGAAGACAGTGGCTAGCAGAGGAGCTCCACTGCTGGTGAGGGATTACCTGAGTTTAGGCTTTGATGTTTCGTTGCTATCTAGAGACGTTTTAGCAATGTGACATCTGTGTACCACATCTGGAAGTCTCCCTGTAAGTCAAGAGCCCCTTAGGGGAGTCTCCCATTGCTGCCTTGGGAACCTGTGTTTACATTAGGAGACCGAATAGCTGTGCTCTGACCTCAAACGCTCAAAACAAGCAGTGAGCAAATCCTAGCATAATTTTCTTGATTCTACCAGAAGGAAGTAAGGCTGGGTATTTAGGAAACAGAACGCGTTGAGCACATTTCTGAGAAAACAGACACTGTGAAAATTAGGTAATCCTGATAGAAAAGCAATTGGGATCTCCCAAAGTCAAGAGATTCTGTAGTACTTCCGATGTATCTCCTGATGTGTAAAATACTCAGATTCCTGAAGAGGGGGCATTTTTAGGGAGACTGTAACCTCTTCATTTTTTCCATCCCGCACAAGTGCTGGAGGCAGCAGTGATCTGAGCCCTAGAAAGTGGCTGTCCTGCACCATCGGTATTTGCATATGCTCTGTGAGGAGGAGACAGATGTGGCTAAGACAAAATTCTATCAAGTTTTGTTTCTCAGATCTCACTTATGAACATCTTTGATTACGTTGGATCCCTATATCACACACACAAAAAGATAATTTTTGTAAAATGTGCTGAAGTACCTTTTAAGGGAAGTCATTTGGCTTTCGCTCTGGCTTAACAACACTGGGAGCAGTTCCATTTTATCTGGAACAGGGAAGTTTATTTCCCTAGAGAACCCCGGTTAGCAAAAATGTTCAATCCCACAAGGCAGTTTTGCTTGCATATTTTCACAGAAACTTCCTTCTACTACTTAAAGAACTTAAAGTCCTCACATTGGGCTGACCTGGGAAACATCAAGACAAAAAGCGTGGATAAACATGCCTGCTTGATGAGCCAGAAAAAAAGGCAGAAACCTGTAGTCTGGGTAGAACAGATCCTGCTCAAAATGTAAGCTTGAAACACACTAATGGTTTACCATGCCTTAGTTAAACCCAACTCTCTGATGTGTTCCTAATCTCCAAGTCTCTTTCCTCTTTTCAAATATCTCTCAAAATTCACCTTTAGCGAGCCTTTACTGATTGACTCCTATTTTATTCTAATTCTGCATTATCATCTGACTACTTAAATTAACTTGTACCTTCTTTATATATACTTGTTAACTTCTGTTTTAATTGCTCTTAGGTCATCTGTCTTTCTCACTATACGGGGAGCTTCTTAAAGTCTGTATTTTCTCCTCTTTAGTATCCTTCATTCATTCATCCAGCAAACTGCTTGTGTGCCTGCTTTGTGCTATACACTCTTCTAGACACTGGGTCAGGTATGAATGAGACAGGTGAATAAGACATGGTCTTTTCCCTCAGGGACCTTACAGTCTAGTGAGGAAAAACTGTGTGCAGACATAGATAAATGAGAGAGTCGGAAAAGAACATCAAAGTGATATTTGAGCATAGTAAGGTTAAAGAAGTTTCAAAGTTTAGTTATTTGTCCATTCAGTAAGTATTTATAGAGCATCTTCTGTGTGCCAGGCATTATGTAAGAAATTAAGGGACTGGGTGCGGTGGCTCATGCCTGTAATCCCAGCATTTTGGAGGCCGAGGCAGGTGGATCACCTGAGTTTCAGGAGTTTGAGACCAACCTGGGTAAAACCCCATTTCTACTAAAAATACAAAAATTAGCCAGGCGTGGTGGCACGTGCCTATAACCCCAGCTACCCGGGAGGCTGAGGCAGGAGAATCGCTGTAACTCAGGAGGCAGAAGCTGCAGTAAGCCAAGATAGTGCTACTGCACTCCAGCCCGGGCAACAGAGCGAGACTGTCTCAAAAA